AAAAAAAAAAAAAAAAAAAAAACCAAGGGAGGGGGGAAATAAAGCAAAAAGGCAGACTTTACTACTTTTCTAAGAAAATAGAAAAAATGACTCCAAATAAAAAAAGAAAATATAAATAAATAAATATAAGAGCTAATATACATTTTATTTCAGTGATGTGCCAACACATGCGCAAGAAGGATTACCAGCGATTCACTAAATAATAATCATCTCTCATCAATTCAAAACAAAAAATTTAATTTCTTCATGACTTTAATAAACTGCGTAGCACCGCAAAAGATGACGTAGACGTACGTAATAGAGATGCCTTTACAAAGGAAACTTCACTCTGGTCTTTTTTGTCATTTTTTTCGTTACTATTTAGATTATTAATTATGTGATCACGTTGAAATAGACACTCAAGCGCACTTATCTCTGTCTTGTATTGATTTTTCAATTTTAATCGATGGTTACTCTCCCGTATCAAAAGTCGTTCAATTTCATATGTGCTCTCATATTCACTTCCCAATAACTTTACAGGTTGCACAGAACTCGCTCCACTACTCATTCGCGCCGTCATTGAAGTAGAACGCTTAGAATCTTTCATTGAATTTGTCTTTGTAACTGGTACTGTGAGTTCCTCTAATGTCATGTGTACACCACAACGAGGATGAAATTGTCCCACATTTCGACGGTAAATAATAGTTTGCGAAGTTGAAGAAGATGATGTTATTTCTGTAATACGACGTGAAGTATCAATAGATTTATTCCCAGTAGGATATAAATATTGTACTAGACTACGGTATAACTCCACCCATCCTTTTCCCATAATAGCAGCACTTAGACTGTAATCTAAAGGTGACCCCGCAGCTTTAACACGTCGTTTTTTTCTCGAAAGAGGTTGAAGAAAGAAAGCTTTAACAGCATCTGCATCTTCAGATGTAGTAAACATTGTTTGCTGAGTAGATAATGCTTCCATTTCACGAGAATGAAGTTGCATACTAACCTCTCTAAACAAAGGTAAAGTTTGTAAATTTTCACGTAAAAACGCTCCACCAAAACAAACAAAACGACTTTTTATAAGTTTTAATGCATTTTTAGTCTCTTGAAGTCTAGCCAGAGATGTAGAACTTACAAGAGAATCTACAAATTCCAATGGTACACCTAAATAAATAGGTCGTGCACCCATAGATAATGCAAATTCCAATCGTCCCATTTCTTGAAGGATACCAAATACAAAAGAAGCATCTGCTCGCTTGTAGAAACGACTATTATGAACTAATTCAGATGATAATGATTTATTTAACTCTTTTCCATCATCTAGGATATGTTGACCCATTAATTTTTTTGACGAAATATCACCTAAAACTCTTGCTTTATCATAACCTGATAAAGAGTAAGATCGTGAAGAAGAACGTGCTAAAAATGTACCTGTAGATTCTCTATGATCTCTTCGCAAAAGACGTTCTTCTTCTGTCAATTCTTCTGTCATTTCTTCTTTTTCATTTTTTTCTTTACTAGCGCGTAACTTGTACATATATTCTTTATCACTATCCATAACCACATTTTCCCACCATTCAAGGCTACGTACAGCTATACCAGCCTCTAACAGTATTGGATCATTATAACAACGCTGATGACACTCTACAAGAAATACCCATCGTTGACGTATTATATCTCGTCTTTCAATACTTTCTTGTTTAAAAAGAAGACGTTGCATTCTATTCTCAAGCGAAAGATTTTTAAGGTATTGATAAAGTGGACTTTTTACCCATACTTTTTCAATCGTCTCTGCCGCTTTCTTGAATATTACTAATCGTTTTCTCTGTATAACTATTTCATCACTCCTTGCACGAAGAAAGGCATTAATAACAGTTACAGCATCTTCCCGCATTCGTTGTAATGCTAATGTAGGATCTTCACGTTTACTTATAGCGTAATTATTAAATGCCTCACGTAATACACGTTTTGCCATACGAACTCGTAACTTCCATAAACGATACTCCATTGTAAGAATTTCTCTAATTCGATTTGCTAACGCTCCAGGGGTACGTAACACTTGACGGAGAATCAGAACTCGTCCCCATCGCTGTAAACGTGAGAGCGCCACATCTACTGCAGCTCGTGAACTATGCCTAGACCGTGCTGAGCCATCAAGTCTTTTTCTTGATCCAACGGAGTAAAGACCCGGAGTGTCACTTCGACTGGGACTACCATAACTCTTGCTGGCTAATCGTTGTCGTTCCGATCTAAAACTAATACTACCACCAGCACCGCGAATGGTGGACCGGCGTTTGTCTGATTTTACATCTGCCGGCAACCCCGTGCGGCTCTGCCGGAGAGTCGAACTACTAACGCTGCTGCTGCGGCGGCTTTGGCTTCCACCACCGCGAGAGACGGCCGTTTTGGGTGTGGGACTCTTCCGCACTGCACTGATGGTCCCACGTGGTGCCGCGCGGCGCACAGAAGAGTGTGTAGAGGACTTGCGACTCCCCGCTCTCATCTTCTACAATAAAAGGGAAAAAAAAGAAAATATATAAATAAATAAACAGATGGAGATACAAGAATACAAAGCAAAAAAGAAAAAGAAAAAAAAAAAAAAACAGTCGTTTCCAATAAAAAAAAAAAAGAGAACAATCACAAAGAAAGAAAATAAAAATGTGAAAGAGGGAACAAACGCAGTGAAAAAAGTAGAAAGAAAGAAAGAAAAAGCACAAATACAGCATAGTGTGCTCACCTTTTTTTTCTTTCTTTCCTTCTCTACTTCTCACCCAACACACACCCCCCTTTTTTTTTTTTCTTCCGTCACCTCAATATCAAAGCCGCACATCAAACTTCTCATCGCCGTAGCTCCCCATTGCGTAGATGGGAGCCGCGAATGGCTCGTAGTCGGAGTAGCAGCGGCGAAACACACGCTCCACCGCACGATCAGAGAAGCCGCGGCAAACCGGATTTGTCTCCAGCGCCATCGCAGCCCGCCGCCGCACACACAACATGCCGCTGTGCAGCGGGTCTAGTCGCCCACGGCGGAGTTCCTGCCCAACAAAACAGTCACCACTGAGACGAGCAGCGCGGATTTCACTACAAGCCTGATGTGTACAGTCCGCTGGTTCAATCACCCCACGAGCGTCGTCAAAGGCGTGAATAAGTTCATGGCGAAGATTCCGCTCCACCGTATCTAACGTGAATTTGGATGGTTGTTGTGATTGTGTTGCTGACGTTGTTGTTGTTGATGTTGATGATGTGCGGCCAGCGCCTGCCACCATGTTTTCCTCAATGAGGAGAATATCACCCTTTTCACAATCCTCACGAGCACGTTGCCACATATACCCCGCCGAGACACACTCATTTGAGAAAGCACTGCTCTCATTATTCATATTGTTTATATTCGTGTTGTTACTATTTTTATTGACGCTATTTTTATTGGGACGTAGCGAGACACATTTGATACGTTCACGAAGAAAAGGTGATTGTGTAATTTCTTCAATGCTCTTAATCAAATACTGAACTGTGTTAACGGAAGCAAGTACCTCATCCACGGCAGCCTCACACTCTCGATGGACACGACTGTTCTCATCATCAGCTTCTCCCTTTTCCTCTTTTTGCTTATCCAAAGTAGTCATTCCTCGTTATCTAACCAGAAAATCTGGTAGGAGGAAGCTACGACTATAACTATTATTAATAAAAAAAAAAAGAAAAAATTAATAAAAAAGAAGAGATATTAACAAAAGAAACAAGTCACATTACTTAATTATTATTATTTACTTGGTACAACTGACAATGCACAAGATGTACACCTTCTGGCCTTCTCGGTGTTTCCGGGGAGGAGCAAACGTCCCTGTGGACGCTGTTATTTGTGAAGGGGAGAAAGACAGAGCAAAAAAAAAAAAACTAAAAATATATATAAAAAAAAGAGGGCAATAAAGATAAATATAGAAAAGCGAGAACAAAGAAAAAAGAGGGAATGGAGATACAAGAGAAACCAGCATACAAAAAAAAAGTCAACATGGGACCCTTATTGTATTCCTTTTAATATATGTTCTCTTCCTTTTTTAAGGTTTTTCTCATATCCTCACATAACTTGTCCTTTCAGTTGATACTACGCACTATTCACTATTATTATTATTATTATTATTATTAATCTTAGTATTGGTAATAATATTGGCACACATTTTTTTATTTTCTTTTTATTGACCTTTACAGTGCACGTAATAATAATAGAGAAAAAAAACAGCCTATGCCGCGGGGACACACGGACATTCAACATCGCCGCCGCAGCAGCCGCAACATATACGAATGGAACAACAACAACAACAGAAAAAAAAAAAAAAACATAAAAACAAAATGAAGAGAGAGTGCCAAGAAATGTTTCATGATGATAATAATAATAGTAATAATGGTAATAATAAACAAATAGAAAATAATTGACCACAAGAAAGTAAACAAACATACAAAGAAAAAAAAAGGCTCCGTTAAATTATAGGATGCAGATAATATATATATATATATATATATATATATATATACTATCTTTACAAATATACTGAAAAACACGTATACTCTTATATTTGGATACAAACAACTGTATTACCCGTTCATATATCGCAAGACTTCTGCACACATACAAACTCACAAACACACACATACACAGAGATACACAAACAGCGAGATTCAATTAAAGTGAATAGATAACTGCTTCCTAGGAGGCCTTTTTCTTTTCTTTTTTTTTTTTTTTCATTTTTCATAAACAGAATAAAAACAGAGATACGACTTGATGAAAGGTAGAAACAATCAAGGGTAATAATTATAATGGTTTTAGTCCTACCAATCACAATAAATAAATAAATAAATAAATAATAATAATAATAATAATAATAATAATAATAATAATAAAGACTAGAAGAAACAAACTACAGAACACATCATAAACTACCACAGGAAACGGACGCGAAAATAAAGAAAAGCAAACTCCTACAGTAACACACCAAAACGGGAAAAACAAAAGAAATAAATTCCCATATTTTCTCTTCTCTTCACCTTTCATATAAATTTAATTTTTTAACTTTTCATCCTGTTTTCTTTTTTCTTTTTTCTTTCTTAATCCACCTGTTGCATTCTTTTTATCTTTATGTATTTCTTTCCCTCACCTTTCCCTTCCATTTGAAGACTCAGACATGTATGCATATATCTTTACGCTTCTAGCTTCTCACCTTCACTTTTTATACTCGTGATCATTCCTCCCTGTGTAATTTATTCTTTTATTATTAATATTATTATTATTAAAACTTTCCATTTCCCTCACTCCATTCCTTCTTTCTCTCTCACTCTGTATCATCATCTCCCTTCACGAACTCCCATACACACAAACACAAACACACAAATTACATAAATACATACATTCATAAGAATGTCTCTCTTTTCATAGAGACAAATAAAGGATACCCCCATTCTATATTCATCTTCTTATCATCTAAAATAGTAGTAATAACAATAGTAGTAAAAATAGTAGTAATAGTAGTAGTAATGGCAATAGCAACCATTATTTAATCAAAATAAAGTAATATCATAGTAAGATAAAGAAAGAACAAGCAGAAATAAAAATATAAATAGAAAAATAAAAGATAACATAATCATATTCACTCCTACCAATACTTACTTACTTACTTAACAATTCAACCATCTAAAAACCGTGAAAAAAGGAATTCTTCTGCTGGCTCTGATGTTTAGCTTTTGCCCACTCCATATCAAAGTCCATACCCTTTGTTGGTTTACAGGACGTTTCCGTATCTACGTTAGTATTATCTGGTGTAGCAACAGACATAACAATATTGATTGCCCGCTTAATTCGCTCCAATGCATCTTCCTCTTCATCATCGTCAAAAAGTCGCATTTCTTCATCTCCCTCACGCAACAAACTTCCATTATGTTTGCTCTGGCGGGCAGTACCACTATCACCACTAAAAAGAAGAAGTGGAGTTTGTGTTTTTTCCTGTTCTACACGAAGAGGTGATGTGGTTCTGCTAAGACCTCCAGAGTTGACCTCATCTAATAATGCCTGAGAAACATATTGTTCTTCATTCATAAACAATTCTGGAGAATCTGATCGTACATACCGTGGCTTCTTAGTTTCTTGTTGTTCTAACACCACCTCTTCCCTCTCCAAGTGACTCTCACGTTGAAGAGGTAGTATTGGACTTGTAGAAATAGGTGCAGGTGGGATAGGGCGACGTTGTTGTAATATCTCTCCTTTATTCTCCTCATGTTGATCCTGCATTTTCATTACTACTTCTTGTTTTGAGTCAATAATAGCATCTATAGGAATTGGTTCTTTTCGAAGTTTGTTATTCGTACTGTATGTAAACGCCGTATAGGATTTAGATTCTAAAGGTGAGGATAAGGAAAGAAGATCACGAAATAGTGGTTCTGGGCCTTTGCGTACGGATTTCAATTCCAAATCAAAATCCGCATCGGAAACACCAATAGCCATGGGAGGCACTGGATGTGGAAGTGTTCGTCTTGCTGCAACCACACCAGATTTCGTTGTCAGTGCGGCATCACTGATGGCAGCCCAAGTATCACTTCCAATGGGAGTTGGAATTGTAATTAATTTCTTTTTCGTTTCTGTATTTTTGGGCATACCAATAGGTGTTACTGTCGTAGTAGTGGTAGTCATTGTGGTTGTGGTAGTAGTGGTAGTGGTAATAGTGGTCGTCGCACTGTTATTATTATTATTATTATTATTATTATTATTATTATTATTGTTGTTATTATTTCCTACTACCATATCAGACACCACCTCCCTTGTGGTTTTGCTATCTATAGGACTTACACTTGTACGATTCACAGTAGTATTAATATTATTAGTATTATTATTTACTGCACGGAGTGGCATTCCCCGGTAAAAGTTCTGCATTCCGACGATTGCCTGCAGAATTGTTTTGCGGGCGACGGACTCCCCGGCGGCGGCGGAGGCCCGTGCGAGCGACGGCATCCAATCGCTGTTGCAGGCGGCGAAGTTCATCCGCGCGAGACCCGCCGGTGTTTTCTCCTGCGCTGCCGCTGTTGTTATTATTGTTGATGTTGTTGTTGTGTTAGTGCTGTTGTTGTTAGTATTATTGTTGGCTGTTGTTGGGATGTGTGCGTGTGAGGAGGAGACGATGGCGGAGGCCACGCCGTTGGTGGCGTTGGTGGTGGAGCGGACGAGAGAATAGCCACCATAGTAGCCTTGCGTAGGCATGATATCTTTCTTCTTTCTCTTCTTTCTCTTCTTTGTTGTTGTTAATTAATTTCTCTTTCTTTTCTTCTTTTCCTGTGGTTCTCTTGTTTCACAATTTATATATATATTTATTTCTTTTTTAATGTTGTATTTCTCGGCTGTTTGTTTTTGTAATTGTGATTGACTGTTTTTTTCTTTCACTTTTCCTTCTCTACTATTTACAATGCCAAATACAAAAAGAAGAGAAAACCAAAGGAGAGTATCATTGTTAACAAAATATGAAAAAAATGAATTTAATGTATTTCACCTGATTTTATCTTTACAGCAGGTATCTATCGATCTATCTATCTATATATTGATCTATGGTTGTATTACATTGTCAATAAATGGATGGAAATTTTGGGGATAGCAATAATATGCAATCACACACATATATGCAGAAACACACACACACACACACACAGATATATCTCTTTTAATAATAATAATAATAATAATAATAATAATAATAATAATAATAATAATAATAATAATAATAAAAACTAGTATTGTATAATAATTACCGTAGCAAACCTGCATTAGCCCATTCTGCTGCCGCTGCACTATTGGTGGGTTTCGCCTCATCCCATGGTCCATTAATTTGTTTTTTCATACTTCCATGCAATGTTAAAAAACACCATGGAATTACTAATGACACCAACACCACAAGTAAACAATACAACACTGCCAACATTGGAATTTGTATTAAACAACCCGCCGCAAGTCCACATAAGGCAAATGTTAAACCCACATGTGCAGTTAACGAAGTACGTTTAAGATGATGTCTAGGAATAGGTGAGAGGGTAAAGCAGAGAATACCAAAGGTAATAAGAGCTCCACTATGAAAAGGACTTTGAATACGAGAAGCCATTAAAATAGTACCAAAGGTAGCTGCATTAATAGCTACATTTTGTTGATACTTCTCTGTATAACAGTTAAGATAATTATAATCTGTTCGTAAAACATGTAAACACATGGCAAAGGTACTAAGTGCAACAATTGTATCATTACTATAAGTGACTGTTAATGTTTGTAAAGCCGGTGAAAGTAATACTAATATCGCAACTAAAGGAAGAACTTGTCTTCCTAACTCCACCACGTGCTGCATTAATGGTGTTGGGTTTTCACCACACTCTAAAGCCAATTGACGTCGTAAATGCACATAAAATACAAATGAAAGAGCGAATAAAGTGGCATTAATCCATAATAATACATATGCATTTAATCGTTCTGTCAATATCATGGCAAATACAAACAAAAAAAATACAACAAATGATAATTGTTGTACAATCACAAATGTATCCATTACGACCTTTCCATACTCATATGTTTTTAAATTTACATTTTGTCGTAAATCCTGCATAAACTGTGCTGGATCCACATAGTTATCTTCATATGGTTGTCGTTCATATAATACTTTACGCCAACCACGAACTACACCGGCTGTAGGAGATCCCCACTGTTGAGAAGTCACAGAGACTTCATCACTGCTGGTGGAAACGTGAGCACGAGATCGATCTACAGACATTTTTTGGTTTGAAAATTATTATTAATAATAATAATAATAATAATAATAATAATAATAATAATAATAATAATAATAATAATAATCTATTTCTCTTTTTTATTTGTTTATATTTTTTTTTCTTCTTTTTTTATATGGAATAGGAAGAAGATGTAGTTTAATACATCCTGTTTTGTTTTGGTCCACGGAAACCATGGAAAACGATACCAAAGAATAAAGAGAGAGAAAGAGAAACAAAAAAAGAAAAAAAAGAAAACAGACAAATACCTTTATAAACCATTTAGAGAGAAATGGATATGTATATAATTACAAAAGACTCGAAATATATAAGAAACTCATATATATATATATATATATATATATGTACATTATGAAAGAAAAAAAGATAGAAAGGAAAACAAAAAAAAAAAAAGAAAAAACATAAACTGTGCACATGGTTTCTTTTTATTCACAATAACCTCCTTTATCTATGGTCTAATCCTTCTCTTTCTTCTTTATTACACTCTATCCCTCTCTTACCCCTTACTCTTTCTCTTTCTTTCTTTCTCTCTTTATTAGTGTATATATATATATATATATACATGTATAAAGAGAGAGAGAGAGAGAGAAAGAAAAATACAATAGGTAGAAAATTCTTCTCTTACTTTTTTTTTTTTTTTACTGTTCCACACGCAAAAGAGAAAGTGACCCTTCCGTAGATCCACAAACAATAACTTGAGGATTTGATGGGTGACTTGAACAGCAAGAGAGGGTACTGTCAACATTAAATAATGAGCAAGGAATAGATCGAAGAAGATAGAGATAAAATGAATGTAAAAAGAGAACCACCCCTTTACAGGTTTCTGTTGTATTAGATTTTGTAAATGGTGTTGCGGTGATGAGAATATATTGTTTAGGTGTTGTACACCAACTTGTTATTCGTCCAGAAACTGCAATCGATCGCATAATCACACCATTCATACTAATTTGATGAATCACATTATCTGTCATGGAGGTATATAATATATTTGGTAAATAACAAGATGCCTGAATTAACACACGATCAATTGCAAACCGTTTAGGATGTCGTAAACTACGTTCTAATCTACTACTACGAAGACCATGTAATAATAACACACCATCTTTACTGGCAGTGGCAACTAAATCCAATGTTGTATTGATATCCACCGCTGTGGGATTATCTTCATGGCCATACACCGTAAAGAGTAAATCCACACGTAGTTTACCACGACCATGTTGTAAATGACAACTCCACACAATAAACATCGTATCATCCGCACCCGTCACAACATATTTACTATCTGAACTTGCCGCTATTCGAACTACACGACCATGATGTGCACTTAGACGTTCTTCTGAAAATGTAGAGGATGAATCTAAAGGACGAATTACAAATGTATTATCAAAAAGACCACCAAGAGCTACAAATACTTCATTATCAAAACAAAGGATAGCTATATTTTCAGTTTCACAAGGTCCTCCCATCTTACTATTAATACTTGGAACTACTCCAGGTGGAAAAGGTGGTATACGTCGTTCAAATTCTTCTGACATATCAAAACTTGGTCGATTACGTACTGTATTAGCAGCAAAGATACGATTAGATGATAAAACCGTTGTTGTTACCGGTATAGATTCCTCAGAAGCTTTAATAGGAGGAGTAATAGAAGTATCCATAGTAGTAGTAGTAGTAGTAGTAGTAGTAGTAGTAGTAGTATTAGTATTACTATTGGCTACAGGTGTAGAAGGAAGATTAGGTAATACTGTCGTTTTCAAATTTGTAACTGTAATAGTATTAGTATTGGTAGTATTAGTATTCGTAATCATAGGATCTATTAAACGTTCTGCTCTTTTTGTAATAGTTGCAATGGAAAGTCTAAAAAGAAAAGCGGCTCCACTTCCCGCAACTACAAGAACACGATCCGATCCAAGTACCGCCACACGAGCCACTCGAGAACATAAACGTGAAATATCCATTAATCTAACATTAAATGCACATTTTATAGGATCTGCTATTTCTTGTGGACGTCGTTCAACGTGATGTTTGGTAAAAAGTTGAATAGGTGTTTGTCCAATATTATCAAGAGAATCAATAAGAAGTTTTTCATCCACATCATTACCACGATTTTTATCTAATTCTTCATATGAATGCCAATTAAAAACATTAAGAGCCGCAATAGCTTCTTTACCTCGTTGTTTATATCCAAATATTAAATCGATCCAATGATGAAGCATAGATGAAACATAATCACACTCTAATGCCTCTCGCATACGATAAACAAATTCATATGGATCTCCATGTGCCCATGGTGGAAGTTCAAGAGAATCCATTTCTCTTCCATCTTGTTTATAACCATAGTTAACATGATTGGTATTCATACATAACTCTGGTAAATAATAAAGTTCAGGTACAAGTTCTCGTACATCTTGAGAATTTGTTTTCACACCATACCAACATGCTGCCATGGAATGAAACATACGATCTGCATGATCAAAATGACCTCCTTGTAAAATAATTTGTAAAGTGGTATATGGTTCTAATCGAATCATATAATATAATGCCACTGCAGAAGAACTATAATGTGTAAAATAATGTGCAGGAACATCTCCCATTTGTTTCGTCTCTTCATATCGCATTTCAACACGTGCACGACTATTTGCTCCTCCACAAATCCCAATAGGTAATGTGAAATCACGAAAGGTGGTACTATCCTCCAAGTTAAGATGTTCACTGGTGTAATCCGCTATTACCCAAGGAAATACAGGATATTGAGTTAAATCATTTACTGTACGACCTCCAAAGAAATTTAACCAAATAAGATATTCAAAGTTAGAAATATCTCCATCTCGCCATTGTTCCATACGTCGCCAAAGAAGAGATTCCTTCTTTGCATTTTCTTGAAATACACATAATGGAATATACGGAATTTTATGTCTTTCAGCAGCAGTACGTACATTACTGACAGCCGCACGCATATCTGAAACAGAGGCGAAATTAATTAATACACTTCGTCCATCACGAAACCATAATTCTAATGCACTTCGCCGCATACGAAATCTTCTTCCTGGTGCTAATAAAGTTGCATGACCAGAAGGATAAATAATACTACGTGGTTTAATTAGTAAAGATTCTGCATCTTCGGCTATTCGTTGATTATATGCTTTATTTTCATCATCAAAAAATATACAAAGTTCACTTTCTCGTATCATTAAAGTTGCACTCCAACAATGCATCATATATGGAACTTCACAAGGCATAGAAAATTGTACAGTGGATTTGGCTTCTAAAGTTGTAGGCATTATTGGAATATTATTATTATTATTATTACTATTATTATTAGTAGTAGTAGGAGTATTATTAGTATTAGTATTACTATTACTATCTTCTTCATCATCATTTTGTATATCTTCTGTAGAAAGCAAAACATTTTCTCCACCACGTAAACGAAGAGGTTGTTTTACTGGTACTTGAACAGTAGGAGAAAAAGTACCCATTGGCGTAATATTCGCATGATTCGTCCCATTAGAATCAAATTGTAATTTTCGACGAATTAGTAATTGCTGTTCAACTTCTAAAAGACGAACATAATTTGTACTATGTTGACCTGCAGGATCCACATCCCAAATAGTACCTTTACAACGTTCAAGAAAACGAGTCCAAACACTATTAAACGTTAATGTGGCTAAAGTTCTTGCCGCTTGTGGGGTATATCGATCGGATAATGCTATTATGGTTTCTTTTTCATTTCCAAGAGATTGTAAACGTTGATCCAATGCATCTAACATTGTTTTACGAGCTACATTAAGATTTGTAATTATTTGATGTAATTTTTCTACTGTTTTAATATGTTCTTGTTCAATAAATCTTGCCATACCTTTATCGGTTAACTGATCTCGTTCCATTACCAAAGTACATTGACTTATAAAGACATCATAATCCTGTCGAGAGGCAACTTCTACAAATTCTCCAATAGAATGTTTACTATTTGTTTGACAAAGCCATTCTAATGTTCCCTTTCGCATTTGTGGAGCTGTTTCATCTGAAGGAATATCGGAATTAAAAAATTGCATTTGCGTAAATCCCTTCTTTTGAAGAGCGCATAATAAATGAATACGATTAAGAATTTCAATATTAGCATCATCAAATCGTATAGAAGGCCCTTGTATAGAAAAACGTAAACGTCTATCAAGAAGTTCATGTAAACTAAGAATCATAATCATACAACCAGAAAGAGGTGAATGTTCTCTCTGTTCTGTTAATTGTCGTCGCAAAAGTAAAAAAGATCCTGGTATATTATCTACTAATTGTACCCAACGAGAGGCAAGAAGAAGAATATTATCCACCTGAATTGGATCCCGTAATGTAAAACTACAAACAACACGAAATAAACGTACAAAAAGACGATGAAATCCTCCTTTTCGAAGTCGTCTTCCTTGTTGATGAAGTTCTGCAGATGTTCCACCAACACTACCAATACCAATACCAATACTACCACCACTTCCACTTCCACTACTACTATTACTACTACTCATTCCATTTGAGTTTAGTATGGCACTATGAATAGTAAGAAGATCCATTGTACTCACAGCAAGTGTGGCATGCATCCAAACACCATCAGGTGCAGAACGAAGCCAAGTTGTATCACCTGTTAAAAATAATGTTCCCTCAAATGTCACATCACTACTTTGTTGTTGCAACAAATTACATCCTTGTTGTTGTTCTTGTTCTTCTTGTTCTTGTGTTTTATCTTTTTCTTCTTCTTGTTTTTGTAACATTTTACGTCCATCAATAGAAAGTACTAATTCCTCCATTTCTGTATAACCGCGTTTACGTTGTGGTTCCGATTGTCGTGTTACTCCATACACTTGATATATAGTAGCGGAGTAAAAAAGGACATCTTCAATTAATAATAAAAGTGATGTAAAATTAGAAGCCGCTAATGGACTACCAAGACCAAAATTGGTTCCTGAAATAGATCGACTACGACTGGCAATAAATACAATAAATTCCTTTACAACCCCTAATAATACAGCATTAAGAAGAATATGAGCCCGTTTCTGAATAAGATAAGCTACTAATAATTCTAACTCGGATGCTCCATATGTTTCTTGAAGAAGAACTTGAAATATAACTCTTGTAAAAATAGTAGTTGTACTGTTTAAAAATTTGGATTCATTTCCAATTTGATCATCCAGTAATTCTTCCTCTGAAAGATAAACATCTACAATACTTGCATACCATCCAGGGACAGAAACAATGGTTCTCCAAGCAACAGAATCTTGTTGTAATAGAGTAGAAATATCAAACATAGTTTTACTCTTCATTTCTTTATCTTGAGAACGTTTCATTAATTGCAATAATGGTGTTAAAACTGGGGCAAATACAATTTTATCATTATGTCTTAAAGGAATACTTTCATTTAATGAAACATCAAATCGACCCGTAAGAGCAGCACGAAAAGTTTCATATAATTTAGAATCCATTACTGATGTTTGAAGTTTTTCTCGTAACCATGATAAGGAAACATCACTCCCAACATGAACAGCTTCATGCGCTATTAACAATGTAGGGTTTAATAATTCCTGTGTTCGTCGAGAACAACTTACAAGTAAACAAAAGAGTAAAAGAGTCTCATTTCTAACCATAACACGTGTATCATTTAGTAATGGAATAAGAAATAATGGAAAATTTCGTCTCCCTAATAAAGAAGCAAGAAAAGAACTTCTAGTTGCAATAAGAAGACGAATATGTTTCAATATTTCAATTAACAAAAACGTTTCTCCAGATTCTAGAGTAATAGTAAAAAGACGTAAAATAGCATCAGCATCATTCATAGTAACAGGATCTAGCATAACAGCTTCTATAAGACTAAATAATTCTTCTCGCATTTCCCTATCATGTGAAGAATTCTTATTATATTCATAAACAATTTCACTCACAATAAAATTAGGTAAATCCAAACCACGTAAACGTCTATGTAACTCATTACTTGTACTACAAATAACATTTTGAATTTTTATGAGCATTAATTGTGTTTTCTCTGCACAGGCATGAAGAAGATCTCTTGAAAGAAAAAGTGCACTATAGGCTGCATCAAAAATAGCACCATCTGGAAGAAGTGCGGTACATAAATTACTGAGTCGTTGTGGAAGATTAGTACATTGGTAATCCATAAATTGTTGTAAAACATGAGAAATAATAGGAAAAAGTCCAACTTCTAATAAATCGGCACGTACTATATTACTTAAAAGAAGAGATTCAACAAGTTTTAATACGTCATCTACAGCTTTACATGTAATATCTGATACTACTTTACGTTTTGTCGGTGGTACACGTAACTGAAAGGGTAACTGTGGATTTACCAATAGTACTAATAACGGTACTACCACTGTATGCAGTGCACCCAATACACAAATAGAATCCATAATAGTATTGGTATTACACGCTAATGTTCCCTCATATGTAATGAGAGGCCACTCTGAAGGTTTACCTCGCAAGAGTGCTGCTAAATTATGTAATTGTCCTCGTTCTCCAAAACGTGGATCTACATAAACTAAAACATGTGCTGCATTATAACGTACCCCTAATGCGGTTGGATGTTGCTCTTCTGATACTTGTTGTGGAGTAACAAGTTCTGTAATTTCTCGTTGACCCAACGTTCGGCTCCACACATAGACGGCGCTCATCTGTCCTGTAAAAGTTCCACTATAGGATCGCTGCTCCACCGCCTCTCCTCGTGTACCAATAAAGAAGAACCCTCGCATAAGTGTTGGGTAGGCAATTCCCCTTATGGCTGCCACTTCTACCCCATCCAGAAACAGCTGCAGTTCTGTGGCGGCGAATGGAAAGGCAGGAGGACGATGAATGAGGGCGAGGTGCACCCACGTGGCTATAGGGATGTGACAGACGATATCCACATCGCGTGTGGGTCTGTTGGTGTCGGCGGCGGCGCTGACTCGCAGTCCGGCCTCCGTGATGGCGAGTTCGATGGCCGGGCGGCGGTCGGGGCCGTGGAGGGCGAAGACGGCCTGCGGGAGGGGGCGGGGCTCGCGGCGGAGCCACAGACTGACGGTGTAGCCGTCCAGCGGGAAGTCCGGCAGCACCGCCCGCAGGCCCGTCGCCCCGCTGCGCTCGCGGAAGGCGATGAAATCCCGCCGCTCCGCCCGCCGCGTGAGTCGGGCGTGTGAGGCGGCGTGCAGGACTTCCACCACGAGGGGAATGAGGCGGCGGCGGTCCTCCTCGCCGGGGGTGTGGGCGATGCTGATGAGAAACTGCTTCGTCTCCCGCAGACTGATGTGGTGGCTTGCAATCGTCATGATGAGTTCCAACACCATCTCCAGCAGAGCCGTTCCAGAGACAATGGGAATGAGGGCCGTGAGGGATCCAAAAAGACCGGCATTCGCCACCATCCATAGAGAAGCAAGGGAACTTTTTATGGTTCGACAAAGACGAGCAAGAAGATACTCTAATGCATCACGGTGTTTTTCTTTAAATTCATTCACTTTAGTAAACATACGTAGAAGTGGAACTAATAGTTCAGGATTTTGTATAACAGTCTCTTCCACATCCATTTCAGAATATGTAAAGGTAACACATTTCATTTGCTTAGAGAAAGTATCCAATTCCTCCTCAGTATAGTCTTCTTCATACACAAGTGAAAGAATACAACGAAGAAACTGTAACCATGATCCTCCTCCTCCTCCTCCTCCTCCATGAGGTGTACCAAACCATTCACTTCTAAAACACTCTACTAAATCTTCGGCACTAACCGTTTTAAAAAGTTGTGTACGTAATGCAGGATTTCCCTTTACAATCATAGCAATAGTACGTACAATACATGAAATAGCATATGAAGTTTTTACTCCATGCCATGGTAAAATAGTACGATGCATTAAACGAAGAAAAATATGTGGAGTAGTACTTGAAAGACTACAAAATATATTTTGTAACTGTCGTACTGGACCCCAACAAAGTGAATCTGATTCTAAACCATGAATAGAAGCACGAATACAATATAAAATAGATAAAAAAAATTTATCCTGATCATCTTCATTTATTGGTGCTACTACATCAGATCCTCCAGTTTCTAATTGTGCACATTTACCAATAGAATCCCAAATATATTTTACTAATATCATCATTCGTTTTGGGTACTCTAATTCAGGGCAACGGTGTGAAAGTAAAGAGATAAGCATAACTTCAGCATCTTGTCTTATATCTTTTACTGTAAGAAGAGAAAGAGCTATACCTGCTTGACTTTCTAATACACCTTGTTGTACCTCTGGTATATGAAGTAATTGTGTTAGTAAATAGGTTACCCATTCTCTAACATCACCTGATCGTCGTTCATTTAGAGTTGAAATACTAAGTTTATTCGCTATAGCGGCAAACATTGATATACCATTATTTTGAATAATAGCATTTATAATAGCATTAGATTTAGGACCATGAACTGCAGAAAGTAATATGGCACAAAAAAGAGATAATATATTAGCATTTTCATAAGAAGTATTATTTACTTCTCCTGTAATTAAAATGTCTAATATAACACTAACTTCAGTATCTACACCATCCTCTGGTGATAAATCTTGTAATTTTGATGATTCTTCCACCATTAATGATGTTTTGGATAATGTTGGACGAGTAAGCATATAATGTACTAAATACACGGATGCGTATAGAAGTCTTGGATCTTTTAAAAAGGTTGCAAATGCACTTTCATAAAAAAGAATGCGATATAAACCTGCATTAATAAGTGTATTTAAAACACTATTTCCATACGATCCTAATATATCTTTATCATTATCTGGTAAAGAAATGATAGCATACTTCATTAATGTATCGTACATACAAGAAGTAGAAGAAGAAGATGAAGTAGTTAGATCGTTAGGTGTATCAAGAAATGCCTTTATAATACTTAATTCAATTTCATTAAAGTATCGTCGTACTGCAGAGTCACTAAACACCTCTGTTGTTGTCCGTATCTCACGTTGAGTTACTAAGAGACCAAGATAACAGTGTAGAAATTCATCTGCACTGTCATTGTCGGCTATTCGACCAAAAGAAGGACGTGGGAGTAATAGTATATTTTCAGAAACATCACGCATACGAAAGGCATTAAGATCCGCAATAGATTCTAATTCATTCATACACTCTTTTCGTGCTAAAATATATCCCTCATCATTATGAGCACATTCATACTCTCTCCCTAATACTTTTAATGCTTCTACCAAATTATCAAAAAAGTAAACCGATCCCATAGCAGTAATAGTTAATTGAGGATATTCTCGTAAAAATTTATTAACAATTAGTAAACTGCATGATAATCGTTGTAATAATGAATCCATCTCTTTCAATTCTTTTGTACCTATAAATCGTGCGAGTTGAACACCCGTACCAGCAAGTGCAACATGAACAACTTGTTCATTAGGTTCTATGGTTAAATTTAGTATAAGAAGAGCAAGTGAAGAAAGAACTTCAGTAACCATTTCTTGTTCTTCCATTTCCTCTGGTAGATCCAAGTCTGGTGCACCCTTTGAACAATACAAAAATAAATGACCACACTCTGTTACCATCGTCTCACGTGTTACTGATGTAAGAAAAGTACTATTTTTGGTTATAATCATAGACTCTGATAAGAAAGAAGATGGTTGTTCTTGTTCCTGATCTTGTTGTGATTGTGTTGATTGTGTTTGCTGATGTTGTTGTTGTTGTTGTTGTTGTTGAGATAATGATGATGATGATTTAGTGGATATCATTATGGATGCTGATATTGAAGTCTCTACCTCTATTGATGGTCCCATCACAGGAAATGCATGTGATGAGGAAGAAGAAGAAGTCGTATTATCTTTTCGATAACACGTAAATCCTTTTGCTAACTGATCTCTTGGTATTCCTGTTGCACTTGATGTTGTTGGTGTTGAATTCACATGCAACGCCATTAAAAGTTTTAAAGTATCACGAAGAACACTCATGACAGTACCACGTGGTGTAGTAGAGAGTTGTAAACCAGAAGAATAATTACTACTAGATTCACTTTCATTAACTGTTTCACCACCTTCCTGCCTAGATGGATTATCCATACTACTATGGATAGAATTCATACCAACTCCAGTCCCAGTTGTTCGACTCATCAGTCGTGAACGCACAAATTGAAGAATTAATAAGAGATGTTCATCCAATCCTAATTCCAACATAATCGCCGCATTTCTTCCTCTATGTGTTGTTACTAACACATATATACAAGAGATGGAATTTTGCAAAAAATGTACCAACTCCATTCCATCAAAATTGGTACAAGCAAGACGTAATCGTTGTAATAATAGTGCGAGCAGTCGTGTTGGTAATTCTGGTTGTGATAACGTTGTGTGTTGTAAAAACATTAACACCGCCCCTTCAATCCCGGTATCGGAGGAACATGGATATGGATGTATAGATGTATTACATGTGTTTTCTAATTTTAACAATTCTTTTTGAATAGTAGCTGCAATTGGTGAGGCAAGAAAGGCCAAATATTCATCCAACTCCTTCTGCTCACGTCGTTTCGCATCATTTTCCACTACGTTAGTTCCTGATTTCTTGATAACTCCAAGGAACTTTAACATCAACTTTCTACGCACACACCTGTGATATGTAGGAAGAAATAAAACTTCTTCTCTACACTTCTTTCTTTCTTTTTATCCCTTTTCTCACTTTTTTT